TTTGACATAATAGTATGCATTGCTCCAAAAAAGGACACCCTGGTCCTCTAAAACTTACAACTCAAGTAGGAATTAATGCACAAAAAATAATTAAGTGTTTGAGCTTTTGTGTGTTGAATGTCATGTCTTTGTTGTTGAATTAATGTTTCCTTGTGTGAGCATTAGAAAATGTAACCACTAATAATGGTATGGGCATCAATTACTCTCTTACCAAACGAGTTTTTCGGAGTTTTTTCGGAGGAGTACTTTCAAATCTTATTTCACAAATTAGGGTAGTTTTAAACTTATTTCCCAAACAGAGGGAGTTTTTGCCTTGTCATCCGGTTGGACGGACCATGTCAACGATACCCGCTTATTTGTGATTCCATGTCACCCGCTCGCCACATCATGCCTCCATGTCATCTCATTCATATGTTTTTTAAATATAAAAAAAAATGCAGCTAAGGGGATTCGAAATCCAGCCCTCCTTGCTTAATTTTGCATGTCACCCACTCTACCAATGCAATTAGTTGTTACTCTATTGTTTTATTATATACTTATTAACTTCTTTGCTTAATACAACATCAATAAAATTTACTATATTTTCAATATAATAATAAAATAATTATTATTTACCCAATAAGATAGAGTATTCATATTATCCCCTAAGAGGGATATTATGAATAACATACTGCGTATACAATAGCATTCAAATTAGGGAAGCCTGACAGAAACCCCGTTCAACCAACTTTATTTTTTTTTACTGAAAATGATTTTACAATTCAATTTTTTTATTCGTTGGTATGAACTATTACTTCCATTGTTAGTTCATAAAAATATTAAAATTTTCCAGTCGGGAAGTCGATTAAATTGATTATTTAAAATAATTGCGCATTTATGTATGTATATTCTACTTGCATCATTAGCTCACATACAACTATTTGAACAAACAACCATGCCAAATGAAAACAAAAATAGCTGCATAGGTCCAAGAAGATATCACTGTAGCAATCAATACACCCATTGTCCCAAAAAAACGAGTGTCCGAGATTAGAAATAAGTAAAATTTTTATAGAATTCTGTAACATTCAAACAATGAGCATCTCTACATGACATTAGAGTTGTACTCTAAACGCTCCAAGTGCTCATGCAGAAGGGCCAACAAAATTCCACATGCAGAAGGGCCAGCAAAATTCCACCTGCAGACAAAAGAAATTATGATTTACAAGTGAGATTGATATACGACCATTGCCTCATTATCAACATGCAGACAAAAAATATGGACTCACTTTCAGAACGAATCATTTCTTGCACTGGATTCATATTTATACTCTGTTCTTCGATGCAATCAGACACTGAAAACCTTCAGGAAATGAAAATAAAAGTAGATTAGAAAAATTAGAAATACACTATTTTTTGAAAAACAATAAACTGTTTTTGAAAAACATTTAAGCTTCTTTTTTTTATTCAGAATATGAATTGCACATTTCATCTTATTTTTCTTTTTTCATTTACATTCCAGTTCCATTTCAGAATAAACATGCAGTTAAATATTTACTAGCCAAAACTAAACCTTGAGCCCAAGCAACATAAATTGGCTTGAAACATTTGAAAGAAATTCCCTCATTAGCTTCTTTTAACCCCTTAGCATTTGTGTGAAAAATCAAATCTTTGACAGAGAGCCGTGGTATCTAGATAAGTATAGAAAACTCTGTAGATTTCATTATTTCTAAATAACCCCTTTGCTCCTAGATTTCATTATTCCAGCACACATTAAGGGAGAACAAATATTTGATTACTAAAATTGGTTTTCCATTATCAAGAGGTAAACCTCATACATTGAATAAAGAGTCCACAAAACTTATACGTATATGGTGGAGAACCCAAGGACTAAAGAGTCCTCAAAACTCATATGTATAAATGGTAGAGAATCCAAGGACGACGGTACTATCCTCAAAACTCGGAATACATATGGTGGAGGACCCAATGACTAAAGAGTCCTAAGGACATTCTGGAATATATATATATATATATATATATATATATATATATATATATATATATATATATATATCTATATATATATGTATATGTATATATATATATGTATATGTATATATGTATATGTATATATATATATGTATATGTGTATATATATATATATATGTATATATATATATATGTATATATATATATATGTATATATATATATATATCGGTGGAGCACCCATGGGCTAAAGAGCCCTCAAAACTCATATGTAGTTTGGATGGAGTTTTTGGAAGTGTTAGTGATAGAGTATACCTCTTAGATTCTAGAGAGAAGTGAGAGCTAGAGAGAGAAGTGCAATAATATGTTTCAATAGAATGAATTTGTCTCACCTATAACTACTCCCAAGGGGAGTATTTATAGAGAAAATTAGGGTTGGGCTCCCAAGCCTTGGGCTTGGGAGGCCCATTTACAACTGGACCGCTACTGGGCCGAATACAAAGCCACTAATGGGCTGTACAAATGAGTAAGTATAGGATCCGATTCTGGGAGGTCATCTTCTGGCCGACGAGGGCGTGGCCGACGAGGGCACGGCCGACGAGGGCAGCCGGGTTCCTTGGACTCAGGATCATAATCCGGGTTGGCTTCTTCTCGGCCGACGGGGGCGTCTTGGCCGACGAGGGCGCCACTCTGTTGTCCTGTGCTCTGTTCTTCCGAGTATGTGGGTCCTGGGGCTCAGACCCATATACTCCATCAGTTAGTAATGGAAGTGTTAGTAAGTGCCCAAAAGGGAAGTGAAGTGTAAGTGTTAGACATAATTTTACCTTGTTTGGGAGAGTTAATAATGAAAGTGTTAATAATTTTACCTTGAGCCATAAGAAACGAGTAAGGAGAAGAGATGAAAAAGGCAGACCATCATACCTGCGTCAAAGAGATTCGAAGTGAGATGTCGAAACATTTTATGTTTTTAGGGTAAATGACAGGTGTAATAATTGTCCAACACCTCAAAACACTCCAAATCGGGGTGTTAAAAAAGTGGACAATTGAGGTGTTGGGAAGGTTATTATTAACACTTCCTAACCTTTACTAACACTTCTTTTCACCTCTTAATTTTTCTCCCAAATAAGTGTTAGTATCAACACTTACTAACACTTCCATTATTAACACTCCCTAACACTCAATCCAAACGGGCCATAAGTTGTGCTAGGGGAGAAACTTCGCTCCCTATATTAAATTATTATTATTATTATTATTATTATTATTATTATTATTATTATTATTATTATGCATGGGGGGTTGCTTCGCGCACCCAACAATTGCTTAACGTAACCATGCATGCGTGGACAAATTTAGCCTTCTTAATTATTAATTAACATTTAGTATAATTAAAACGTTATTTACAATTGCTTTGCGCACATCCCAAGCTCCACACTCGATCATCTTGTCCATATCAAATTTACATTAAATATACATCCAATAAAATGCTGCCATGTGGCAAGTAATTTCATTTTTTATAAAATGTCATAACTTTTTCATTTTTGCTCCAATTTTTATAAAAATTATAACAAATTAAATATATTTTTATGATGTTTCATATGACACCAATATCATATATGTAATTTTAAAAAAAAAATCTGGTCAAGTATTGTGAACGGTCGATAAATGTATATTTACTATTATTTAAATTTAGTCTAGTCAAACCTGATTCTATTTGTTTGAATCTATCTGGTTTGAATTCAGTTCAATTAAAAAATCCTAAATACCATTCACATCATAAATCTAGTCATGTAACATATATGACCGTAATGTGAAATCAGCATGGTGCTAAATACCATTCATCTTGCATATATCATATTTTTATAAAAGAAAATATTAGATATGTGTATTACAAGAAAAATACATTTATATTTAGACTTTTTATACCTGATTTATTTTTCAAAGTTGCTCAAAATATGCTTACCAAGTTCTTAAATTAATAATTTATTAAATTTACTTAAAAATGCATAATATTACACATATTTAATACTTCATAACTCATTAAATGTACAAACAGAAACATATTTATTTGGTTTTTTTCTATCTGTTTTATACAACTATTAAAATTTGATTTGGTTTAAATTGGGATAAAAAAACATCTCAATTAAAAACATCCTAGATACTGTCTTATCGTAGTTATATAATTATAAAGATGAATGAAAAAGTATATATATGACCATCAAAATATTTACAAATATTGTATACGAGAAACTTAATAAATCACATCACAAAAAAGAAGTGAGATACATATAGTGGGGCAGATGAATACCTCATAAGTGTGAAAATCAAGAGTATTATTTTTTAGATAATTTTCAGATTCATTCTCCATGGTAGAAGAAGATTGTAAATGAATTATAGAAGCATTAATAATGTGTTCCAAATATTTATACAGTAGTTGTTTGATGATAGTTAGAAAGTGTAATCTTGATAGTATTAGAAATTTAAGTGTATTTGGAAACATGTCACACAAAATTTTGGAAACATTAGATCCATTTTTAACTTGCACCATTTTTATTTTAAAAAAGCATGGTGTCACAAAGTTGGAGATGTCTCACGGCAAAAGGACCATCGCTTTACTCATTAATTTAACTAAGGGTGCGCCTAGCTGTTAATGTGGCTACGCGAGGGTAAGTCTGTCCATGGGAAAAAATGGGGTGCGCGTAGTAAGTCATCAAACATGTGGGCCCGCCTCCAAGCCATCAAACATGTGGGGCCGCCCCTCCAGGTTGAGGAAAAAGATTTGGATACAGTCATAGAGAAAGTATAAGAGCATCTTCAATGATTTGGGGTGCACAATGTTTATGTGGCATGAAAGATATCGAAATAATTATTAGCAAATAAGATATCTCTCTTCTCATTTGAATGACTTTGTATAATTTTGATAAGTTTTTCTTTGTAATGTCAATATCTAAACGATTTTTTCGACATTGTGAAGAAAAACTTTATCAAAATTGTATAATATCATTTAAATAAAAAGAGAGATAATTTGTTTGTTAATTTTGATAAGTATCTGTTATGCTAGATGCACATCATACATACTCTAGCATCGAAAATGCTCTAAGTTAAAGTAAACAATGTGAATTTGACTCCCAAAAGTTACAAGAAAACGATTTAAATACCATGTAATATACTCCGTAAATAATAAGTTGCGGGTAACCCTTCCGCTCATCATAGCCTGAAGTTTTCAACGAGGTAAAAATGGCGGATTCCATGAAAATGACAAATTACCCGCTGCCTTATTCCAAACTGTCATTTTATGTTATTATTATATACTTCTTCCATCTAGTAAATTCACAAAGTCCAGTTACGGATCGTGATATATTATTGGAAGTGAAACGGGAATGGGGCAGCCCATCATCTCTTCAAGGGTGGAACACTACCGCTCCAGAGTGCCGGTGGCCGGAGATTACGTGCTCAGACGACGGAGCGGTCACCGGCGTATCCGTTAAGGACTATAACATCGTCTCAAACATCCCGGCGAAAATATGCGATCTCAAAAACCTCACCTCCCTCGACGTTTCTTACAACTATATCCCCAACGGCTTCCCAATGACCATCATATACAACTGTTCGAAGCTGGAGTACCTGGACCTCTCTCAGAACTACTTCGTGGGCCCCATTCCTCCCGAAATCGGCCGGCTCCGGCACCTCCGGCACCTGGACCTCAGCGCCAACAACTTCAGTGGTGATATCCCGCGCGCCGTCGGGGACTTGACGGAGCTCCGGCAGCTGAGGCTGGAGAACAATTTATTCAATGGTACTTTCCCCGTCGAAATCTCCAATTTGTCAAGTCTCGAAACCCTGACCATGGCCTACAACAACTTTACACCGGCGGCGATCCCCCCGGAGTTCGGGAACCTTAAGAGACTCAGTTTCATGTGGCTATCGTCAACAAATCTAGTCGGAGAAATTCCAAAAAGCTTCGAGAATTTGTCGAGCCTGGAGCAACTGGATTTGGCTGATAATGATTTAGAAGGTGAAGTTCCGCAAGGATTGTTGTCGCTCAAAAATATCAGCAAGGTTTACCTGTACTCAAACATGCTCTCAGGTTCAATTCCTTCCCAATTCGCGAAGCCGTCAAGGCTGGTTGAGGTGGATTTGTCCATGAACAAATTAACCGGAAAAATCCCCGGCGATTTTGGAGAGTTGGAGGGGCTCGAGGGTTTATATCTCTACATGAATCAGCTGTCTGGTGAAATTCCCCCAAAGATCGGCCAGATACGCACTCTGAAAATTTTTAGGGTTTTCACGAACAATTTGAGTGGAATTTTGCCCCCTGAAATGGGGCTGCATTCCCAACTGCAATACTTTGAAGTTTGCGGGAACAGGTTCACCGGGAAGTTACCGGAGAACCTATGTGCCGGCAAGACCTTGTTAGGCGTAGTAGCATTTCAAAACAATCTGACCGGAGAAATCCCTCGGACGCTTGAGAGTTGTGACACTTTGAAGACTATTCAGCTTTATGACAATTCGTTTTCAGGGGAAGTTCCGCCATGGGTTTGGACATTGAAGAGCATGATCAGCGTGATGTTGACCAACAACTCATTCTCCGGGAAGCTTCCGAGTGAGGTAGCTGTGAATTTCACACGGTTAGAGATCAGCAACAACCGGTTTTCCGGGGAAATCCCGACCGGTGGAATATCATCAATGAAGAGTATTGTTGTGTTTCGTGCGAGTGACAATCTAATCTCGGGTCAGGTCCCGGAGGAAATCACTGGCCTTTCTAGGCTCACTGAGTTAAAACTGGATGGGAATTCACTTTCCGGTGAACTTCCGAAGAAGATCCGTTCATGGAGATCGTTGACTACCTTGAACCTTGCTAGAAACAATCTTTCTGGCAATATTCCATTAGCCATTATCTCTTTGCCCAATCTTGTGGTTCTGGACTTGTCACAAAATCAAATCTCAGGTTCAATCCCACCCGAATTTGGTCTTTTGAAGCTCACTAACTTTAACCTTTCTTCGAATAAACTTTCCGGTAAAATCCCGAATCCGTATAATAATATGGCCTTCAGAAACAGTTTCTTGAACAACCCGAATCTGTGCGCCTACAACTCGGAGTTGCCTCACTGCAATGCCGTCCAAACCCACCATTCTAAGAGCTTGCGACCGTGGATTCTTGCAGTGATTTTAGTCATCGCATTTGTTGTTATCCTAGTCATTGTAGGACTCATCATGCTAAGGATTAGAGGCTACAAGAGGAGGAAGAACAACAATTCCGATATTTCAGAAATAGCGCTCTTTACATGAAGTTATTTTACATCATGTATTTAGTTTTCTTCTTTCCCCGGCCCGCACTTGTTGATTTTCATGCTTTTGATGAAAATGGTTATTCTATGATGGTCTTTTCGTAATATTTTAAAGGCGTTATTACGTGTTTTGCTATTTAATGATAGTCTATCACTCTATCCTCTTTGATTAAATATTTAAATAGAGAAAACTCTCAAATAGGTCCTCATACTTTGTTCAATTCCGCAATTAAGCTCTCGTACTTATTAATCACCCAATGGAGTCCTTGAACTAATCAAAATCACCCAATCAGGTTTTTTAGCCGGTGGACTGTCGATTAGCCGGTTACACCTGAGTCGGACTCCCTTTACGTGGTCAAGCTTTCTGGTCTTCATCGTTGTTTCACTTCCAAAAAATCAAACTCTGCCTTAAAAATCAAGTAAGAAGCGGGGAGTCAAACTCTGCCTTAAAAAAGTTGACAGATAAGAAAATGTATCTGGTTTTGATTTCTGAATGCACTGCTTCTTCCCTGCATTATGTTTTTACATCGGCCTTCACAGCTTCACTGTCGCGGTACTCTCATCTCCAGGCCAGTCAATTCACCCATGCTGATGCCGCTAACTATCTCTATCCGATTTCACATGTTACTTTAGCCATTGAAGACGACCTCCTAATTTTTCCACTGTTAATTTTTCTTTAGTCTAAATAAAAAGAAAACCGCGGTTTTGCAACATACTGCAGTTTTGCTCTGCCGTAAGTAATAATACATAAAGCTATCATCTTTCTCCATGTGGTGGCTTTGTTTGCGTGAAGGAAGCAAAGGTCGTGACTCGTGTGCACGTTAACTCGAACCTCGTCGGTCGCTCTTCAGGGGCAGACTTCGAGGCTACAGGCCAGTCGAATCGCCCCCAAGCCAGCGTCGCTAACTCCTTCGGTCTGGACATCTTGTATTCATCTCGTCTGAGGTCACTCTTCGTCTCGGAGCCGGTCTTCTCACTGTCGGTAGCCTTTCTCATGCGGAGTTAACTGGAGTCATGTATGGCTGCAGATCTTATATTTGTGTACCATAGTGAAAGTCACGAGAAGTGGAAGACACCTTTGTAGTTCCTAGTGCGTATGAGGGAGTCCAGCTCAGCGTGTACCCGGCTAACCGGCAGTCCACCGACTAAAAAAGCCTGATTGGGTGGTTTTGGTTAGTTGAGGGACTCCATTGGGTGATTGATAAGTGCGAGGGCTTAATTGAGGATTTGGTCAAAGTACGAGGGCCTATTTGAGAGTTTTCTCATTTAAATATACAAGGTTTGTTGAATGCATAAATATGTAGTCTCATAAGCTGGGTCATTTTTAGTATAACACCTTTAGTTTTACTAACAGCACGTTTACTTTACTTAATTTTCACCATTCTCTTATTAATTAATACACATCAAGTAAATAATTTTTTTATGATAAGTATTTACTCGTAGATAGATTTTATGTTTTATAGTGTTTAGTAAGCATCGCACCCCTATATTTTGTTAAACAACATGATAAGAGGAAAATCCTTTTAAAGTATAGGAGAAATCTGCTCAGTTAATGTGCTCTTTGGCCGAGAGTTAAAGCATCAATTGAGAAAAGTTGCAAGTATTGTAGGTTCCAATTTTTGCAGGATGTATCATGTTTCATACATGAGTGGAAATATTTTTCTTATAGGAGGTATACATAGATAAAATGTAAAATATGACCATCATTTTTATCTTCTTTAAATACAATTCACTCACTCCTAATTGTGATAGTTTTATGTTTTTCATAGAAACGGTAAGTCTTATTTTAGAAATAAACCACAACTACTCACACTTATTCACTATGTGTACATATTTTGAGTGGATAATCACTTGATTAAATCCTTAGGCATCTCCGGTGCCAGAAAAATGTTTGGTGTACACATTTGGTGTACACCAAGCAAAGTTGCCAGTGCAATGGTCTATTGCATTTCCACGTCATTCAATAGACCCTCTCCGATGTAAAAATATTTAGTTTAATCTAGCTGAGTTGGCAAAAATACAAAAATGGACAATGTCCTCTTTAAGTTCTCAATAGAGACCTTGAGTGACACCCTCTCTAAAAATTTAAGTAACTGTTGTGGGGCTTACCCTTTTATTTATAATCGGTATTTCTTTTTCTTTTTAAATATCTCTCTCCAATCCTTGCATTGAAGTTAAATATGAATAGACCTTGTCAATTTATAAATGTTTGGCCCACACACTAAATAGATGAAACCTAGATTACACTACAAAAAACAGTGTATTTGTCACGAATTTTGTCACGGATCCCTTTTGAAAAAATCTCTGACAAAATATTTTGTCACGGATCTCGTTCGTGACAAGATCCCTGACGCCACAGCCCTGACAAATTTTTGTCATGGAATTTTGCCCTTGACAACCTTTTGTCACGACGTTGTCACAGGCACAACTCTCTGACAAATGCTCTCGCTGGCCGGTCAAAATTTCTTTTGCACACATCCCTGACAATTAGTCACGGAAGATATCCGTGACAACATCTAACCACACCCAAAATATCAAATTTTCAAATATTTGTCACGAATTATATTATCCGCCAAAAAAAATTGAATTTTTTGAAATTTAGTCACGGAAGTCATCCGTGACAAATATATTATCCACCAAAAAAATTGAATTTTTTGAAATCCTGCAATGTGAAAAATTCTTATAAAAATATTTTGCATTTAAAATTGCAGGTTTTTTCTAATAATTAAAGCAAGAATTAAAAATAGAATTTAGCATTACGAATTGAATTAAATAAAAAGGCGTATTGTCATTACAACTAATTAATTAATTAAAAAGTGATATTAAATTCTAATTAAAATATAATTGTCATACATATTATCGGGACTATGAGGGATTTTTTCATCAGGGTTGTTAATAAATTGATTAGTTTTTTACTTCGCGCGCTGAATTTTGTAATAATGAAAAGGAGTAAGATTGAAGTTACTTTTGTGACTAAATTGACTGAAGTTGTTGTAGGGCATCATAAGTTAAAGATACTATATGTCGAGATATTAAGTAAAAGTCGAATAACGAACTATCTAATATCCTCATTATCATATTTGGCTATTACTATCTACACTAATACTTGATAAATTAAAATACTTACTTGTCAAGATAAATAGTGTCAATTTATGAACATATAATGCAATTATGATTTTTATAGAGATCGAACCTAGAACAAAAAATTTTCTTCGGCCATTGAAAGAACTTAACAAATTATCCGAGATATGACCCTGTTTTGTGCCCATAGACAAGAGACATTCCAATCTGGAAGTGAAAACTAGAGTACAAGTGTAAAAAATAATTTATGTGTTAAACAAACATGGACATCAACCCACAATAAAATAGATATTCATTCACACCAAAACAAACCCTTCAAAAAAGACATGTTTATGTTCATTAAAAATCTCCTCAAGTATGTTGTAGTGTATTCTAATGGAGTAGATTTATGGAGTCCTATAAGGCTCTCATGTGAAGCTATATAGCTCATTTTGTCTCATCAAACACCGTACATTTTTATGGGGGGGGAGTGATAGCACTATAAAAATGAATGATGATGATGAGTATATTCAAAAGTGTTATACCTGAAAATAGATGCAGAAATTGCAACATACTCAAAAGTTCACAAGTTAAAATACAAATATAATAACACAAACCACCCCGCTTATAAAATGGGCGAAGAAGACACATAGACATAGATTGGTTTCAGATTGAATCTAAATATGTTGACAAATCAATGAAAACTCATCATTGAAAAATATGCCTTATGTTACTTAATTACGTAAAAAAATATTTCCACTGATTATTTCATTAAAATAGAAGAAAAAAAAAGTTCAGTGTTTCAGATTTCCCTAATCTAAGTCCGATTGAAAAACAAAAGAAGTAGAGCTTACGCATTGTAAGAATGCTTTACTTGGACTTATTTTAGTCTTAGATCACACCAGAAGTATACTGACCAGACCAAGTCAGATTATGCAAGTATAAAATACATAGAGACCATATCAACTCAGAACAGACGAGACCGTACTTAAACAGACCATACCTTACTAGACAAAAAAAAGTTCAAGTAGAAATAGCTAACCTATTTAGAGTTTGACACGTGTATAGAAACATCTAGACTGATTGGTGAGAGAATTTGTTGATTCATTGCTTAAGTGATTGCATGTCATGGATGATTTTCCTTTTGTAACGGAATGTCTGGGTGACCACACATGTACAACATGACAACTAATTTGCATGTGCCAGCGTTAGAGTCGATTGTTCCATGATGATACCATCTTTAATTTGTTTGGAGTATTTGTGCCAAAATATCTAAGTACATATATTTGTGTCGTTTCTCAAGCTCGACTCTGCAAGGCTAGGGTAGCGGGGTTGCTCTGCTCGGATGCATGATGGTGCTCTACTCAAATGTAACATTGTTCAGCTCAGTTGCACTGATTCTCAAATCGGGTATAATGAGCTTAGATTGGATGCACGATGGTGTCCAACTCAGGTGTAACAAATCCAGTCTAGACTGTAATTTCAGGGTTTTGTTACAACGCTGAGAACCATGTTCGACCTCGCCCTCGACCTTAGTTGAGGGCTCAACTTCGTCTGCAGTTTTGGAATTCTTTTGTTAATCAAAGAACCAAGTTTGAGCTAGGCCCTTGCTTGGCTAGCGAGCTCGGGCCCGCCCTGTTGATGTTGCCTTAGTCGATTGTGGAGGTTCGTTCATTATTATCTTGACCTCTGGGGATATGGGAATATACTACTTCAGGAGTAATAAAAATAAGAGGGAAAAATGTATTACAATATATAGTACACACGTATACAACTTGACTCAAATAAAATGAAGTAAAAATATACAATTGAATTTTTTCAAATGAATAACATATTTTTACATTTCAAGTTCATATGTCCATTGTCCATCTTCCTTGGATAACTCATCAAATTGGCACGAGGTCTTTGTCAATAGCGACTCGGGGTTGTAAAAAAAAATCAAACAAAGGAGGGCTTAAATAGGCAATTGTTAGTCATCAATAAATATGTATGTACACTTGCCATTGAAGGAGAATTTTCTAAAAACTTATATCGAGAAAAATGTCTTCATGCACAACTAGTTTTGTGTTGTTATATCAAGAGTCAAGAGCAAAAATGAATTAAAATTTTTAATTCATTCTAAAGTTATTGTCCCTTGTTATT